GCCCCGTTAAAGGAAACATGAAGGTGATCTGTGATGGCAAAGAGAGAACAAAAAGTTGTGATACGTTCCCTGAGGCTGAGAATAGCAATATCTTACATGTTCATAAGGGCTGATAAAACACAAGTAAATTTGAATTTCAGAAACACAATGAGCTCTTTTTTCAGTATAATTTTGTTGTACAGTGTTTTAAGTGCCAGTTCCGATGACCCTGCATTACAGTGCTGCTACTCAAGGTGTGGTCCCTGCACCAGCAAAACCCCACCAACTTGTTAGAAATGCAGAATCTCACACGGGACCCTCTCCCTGCCCTGGGACTTAACTGTCTTAGCTCAGGCTTCTCTAACAGAAAGGCCGCAGGCTGTAGGGCTTAAACAGCAAATACTTATTTTTCACAATTCTGGGGGATCAGAGCATCCAAGATCAAGGTGCTGACAGCATCTGTGCCTGGCAGGGGTTCTCTTGCTGAGTCATAGATGGCTGACTTCTTGTTCTGTCCTCAAATGCACAGAGAAAGATAATTTTTTCCTGTTTCTTCTTATAAAGGCAGTAATCCCATTCAGGAGGGCACTACTCTCGTGATCTAATTAGCTCCTAAATCCCTACTCCAAATCCCTTTGGGGATTAGGATCTCAACATATAAATTTTGAGGGAATACAAGTATTCGGCCCACAGCACCTAATGATCCACAACCTGGATTTTAACAAGATTTCCAAGAGTTCTGCCTGCACACTAAAGTTTCCATGGATTTAAATTTGCAAGCTGTTTTCCTAGATACATCACCTTAATCTTCACGTTGTCACAGAGCTTTGCAAAAGAAGAGATTCTCTTGACTGCCTAGTCCTGTTGTTAGAATTAAGACTCAAATGCTGACTGGGCTAGAGGGCACATCTGCAATTTCCTGCCATCCAAGGGCAGAGTGTCCTCCTACCGCTTTTCCTGTTGCCAGGCTTGTTTGGATACAGAGGCGGAGTGAGATGGATCAGAGATGGGGTGAATGGAGACAGCAAAGGGGAAAGTGGGTTCATATATAACAGTCAGTGCTCACAGATCCTTGACTGTGGTCTCAGCTCCTCAGATTGCTCCCTGTGGCCACCATAGCAATCACGTCTGTGTGTGTCCTGCTCTGTTACAAGTCATCGTCAGTTCCAACAGGTGCCATTCATTTAATGGTGGATTTTGGGAAAAATAACATAGCCATTGGAATAAATGGGCATTCCACCATAGGAGTCATTTTGATTTCAGAAACATTAAAAGCTAAAATAGATGTATTTCTGAGTCAAGGAAGCTCTTCTGGCGAAGAGCTATGGAGAACGATTCTGAAAATAATGGGGAGAAACATGGGTGATAGAAGACACCCTGTCAGATACTTAGCACAAGGGGGCTGCTGGAGAGAAGCAAAAACTGCCTGAAAAAGTCTGATGGATGAAATCCAAAGACAGGGGGACTTGTCTGCTTCATTAGAGACACCGTCACATAGCTTTGGTTTATAAACTCTGGACTGGGGCACTCTATCAATCCTAATATAGAGCTTCATTTTATATCCATTAACACATGTTGACAGATTTTAAAAATCTTCTGGTACTTTTATTTCACATAGATGATAAGAATAGCTTTTTTTCTCCTCAGTTTTTTTGTTTTATAATTCCTAAACTTTAAAAAATACTTATAATTTAAAATGCATACTTCAAAAGTGAGGGGAAATGTTATTATCTGCATTAAAAGGATATGCTTTATTGCTGTTATTTTAATTGACACATAAAGATAATAGATGTAAAAATGTAATATGTTGATATATGTGTACATTGTGCCATATTCAAATCAGAGTTTGTGTCTGGATGTCCCCCTAAAGCCTCATGCAGTCACTTGGCAGGCTTCAGGAATTTATGATTGATTCATGGTCCAATGTTGGGATTATGGGTATGAGTGCTACACCTTCCCTGGGGCAGGTAGTTTGCATACAGTGTAAGGGAGGGAAAGAGGCTGCTTGCCACTGCTCCTCCTCTTTTTGCTCTTGCTGCTTTGCTATCTTCCACCACCATGAACTGTTGCCCTGTTCCATGTGCCACTCTGTCTTGGAGCCAGCCAAGTATGGACTGAGACCTCCACAAAGAGTGAGCTAAATAAACATTTCCTTCCTTAATTTTGGGTGTCAGGTATTTTGTCTCAGCAATGAGAGAAAAGTAACTAAGACGCTGAGGTAGCTATCTCCTCAAACATTTCTTTGGAATAAAGCATTCAAAATTAGTCCTTTTAGTTTTTTTGTAATATACAATATATTATTGTTGTCTAGGCAGTAGCTCTCTGGGCAGTAGCTCACAAGAATTTCTGTCTCCTCTCTGTTGGCTTAGTACGCATTAATCAACCTCTTCCCATCAAATGAATTCTTCGACTTTCAAATTTCTTTAAGTGAAAAGCTTCTTGTATGTCATTTTGTACTAATAATATTTGCATGAGAAGAAATCTTAAGTTAAATTCAATTCAACAAGTCTTTATTGGTTATCTATTTACTATGCTAGTAAATATAAAGTTGTAATGTTACACCTTCCAGCCATAGAATTTTAAAAAAGGAACTAAAAGGAACCATGAAATTATAACTTTTCAATGGTAACATAATTGCAATTGCAGGTATTTGATGGCCTGCTTTTAAAAATAATATACTTACTGCATAATAAAATATATACTGTGTTAGGTTAAATTCTGGAAATCCTCTGAATGATGACTTTATTGCATGAAACTTGGCCATTTCTTCTACTGTATAAAATCCTTCAATACTTCCCACTGATCTCAGGGTAAATTTCAAATCTGATCCATGAGTCCTGATTCAGACACTTCTCTACCTATGTGGTCTTTTCCTAACCTCCAATCCAGTAATATGATCTAACGGTGGGTTCCCGACCCACTGTCCCCTCTGCAGGCACTGAACCTTTTCTTCTCCTGACTCCACTGTCACCCACAGCACTCATTCCTCAGAGCCTTGCACAGTGGCTGGTCAGAAAGGGTGCTCAATAATATTGCTGATGGATAGACAGGCTCAATGAATGATGCAGAACCATTCAATCTTTCACAGAGATCAGGATCCATTTGATTTGTTCTTTTAACACAAAGAGAAGAACATTTAGTTACTGTTTTAGAGGCAAGGTGTTGACATCAGGAGACTACTGGTCTACCACGTGGGGGATTCCAGCTTTCACCTGTCTTAATCGGGTACACAGGGACTTGTCCTTTACTGTCTTCTTCTTCATGATTAGGAACTTACTGATCATCCTGACTTCCTGTTGCTCTCAGTTCAATGGTCTTTATATTCCGATTCATTTTCTTAATGGAGTTTTGGTCATTTCCCTACCCACAATTGCGACCATTCCTTATGTCCTTTTGTAAGTAACTGCTTATGTGCTAATACTTAGCACATAGGTTGTGGCTATCTGTGGGAATGATGTTTAAAACACAGCTTTCATTCTAGATGGGGCTGGAAGGGAAATACAGATGAGCAACAGAGCAGCTTGAAGAACCAAACATATTCATGAGGCCACCTGCTCATCCTCCCAGGGTCTGAGCATCATCACTGGGAAAGGACACATGCAAAACAGTGAATTAACAGCTGAGTCCACTGGCCTCCTTCCTCAAAGGGTAGACATTGTCAAGTTTACTATTTTAATTTCATTTTTGTATTTTAATTTTAATTAATTAATTTGCACAACTAGGCATTGAACCCAGGGCTTCTGCATGGAAATACATACTCAGCCCTTTTTATTTTTTATTTTGAGACAGGGTCTTACTAAGTTACTAGTTTACCTGGGCTGGATCTGAACTTGTGATCCTCCTGCCTCAGCCTTCCAGCGTGCTGGGATTACAGGAAAATACTAAGTATTTTTGAGTGTCATGTTGATAATACCATGAACCTCCTTTTGTCCTCTCACTATCTAAAATATGGATATTGATACTTTAGGCAACTTGAAATGGTTAAAGCACTTTCTGAAGGTGTCTTGATTACACCTTGCTAAGCTCTTGTTGGTATGGTCAATGATAGCATGAGCAATAGATGTGAAAAGTACAATGTAGCAGTGTGAGAAATAACACCTACTGTATGCCTCACTTGGGCTCCTTGCTTAGCTCTTCCAGATTTCTTCTAAACTTAATGTTCATGTTACCTTCTTGTTCCCTTTAGGTCACAGCTGTTTTGTATGTTTGAAGCTGCCCAATAAGACCTCTGAGTAGATGCCCCTCTTGGTGTCTCCACCTGTCGGCCAATCTCTGAAGATTCCTTAAGTCTAACTTACCATCTGCTTTACCCACCTACAGCCTAGCTGCTGAGGGCTGTGGCAGATTCTTCTCCTCATGTCCTGCCCCTCCTGCCAACTCCCAGCCAGTGCCCCCTTCCAATTTCTCCTCCCCACGAAAATCCGGCCAAGTCCATTTCTGAGCAGAAGTTCCTTATCAAGAGGTTGCAGCCGCAGTCAGTGATAGGGAACTACCTTTTAAGGGGAGGTTCCGAGAGGACTTCCCAAGGTGTGGCCCTATTTAAACTCCTCTCCATTTGTTTCTTGGCTGTTTTCCTTTACCTTTTCAGTAAATACTTCAATTTTTTTCCCACCAAGGATGAAAATATTACAGCTGAATTTTCATTTGCTGCTTAACTTGTGAAAAAAAAAAAAAAAACTTCTGCAAATTTAACTATGGATAAAAATAGCCCTGCTATCTTAAAGTCATTAAGTGAACATAAAACGGCTCTTTGTGATCTCAGGCTATGTGCGATCTGGCATCTGTCACCATTTCTCCATCCTCATTTGGAGGCCAGACATTCGGAGCAAGGATTCCAAGCTTAATGGCACCTTGAGAGAAAGTGCTCCCAGGTGCCCCTCAAATCTGCCACTCTCAACAGCTGTCGCCTAGTGACGCTGTGTCCCTCCACCCTCCACTGCTTTTTGCATAAACGGGTCTGCAGAGCTGTGCCAGTTGTTCCGGGCCTGTGCGCTCTGCCCCTGCCCACGTCTGCGCCTCACCTGGCTTTGCTGTGCCCGTTCCAGCATTCCTCCTCGTTGGACGTGCCCGCCGTCACACTCTCATCCTTGCAGATGGTATAGGGCAGTGCCGACCAGACCTTTTTAGAGAGCTTCAGCTTCTCTTTTATGTCTGTGACCTGATCAAGAAACCAAGGAAAGCCAGTGAATACCCTCCGCGGGCTCTGCTCGTTTCTACACAAGGATGTGGCGCAGGTGAAGGTTATAGAACCTGTGATGTGAGTGACACAAACGATCGTGTTTGAGAGACGGACAGGGTGCACAGGGTTCATTGCCAGAACAGCCCCCACCTCCCATCTTCCGCTAGCGTGGGGCCGAGAATGCTTATGTAATTGGCTTTTGTTCTCCTTTTTTGCCCTTCCATCCCTTGAGTTAAAAACGGAGGAAGCATCTCATCTGGCTCTGGTCCCTCTTCTGCCAAAAGTCCCTATTGTAAATACCTAAGTACATGCTTTCCAGCTCAATTGTCTGGATGCCCATAAATGCCCCAAAACAGTGCACTGAGAGATGAGACACCTTCCCCAGTGACCTACTGGTTTCTGCAGGAAAGAAATCTTGTCACTAATTCAGCTGCCAGTAACTTCTGCTCTAGTGCAATTGACAGGCTCATACCACACACACTTGGATGGTGAGCAGTAAGCCAAACACAGTAAGAAATCTCCAGCACCCCAGGAAGCAAGTCCTGGTCCCGGTGGGCTGCAGTGCACAGCCGGAGGATGGCTGGCGGGAGTGGCTTAGTACAGGCTCTTGGGTGTTCTCAGCTCTGACTTCTTACCTGTGACAAGGGTGGAGATAGGGATTCAGGCTCCATAATGAACATGTCTGTTGATGCAGCCAGAGTCCCAATTTCCTATTCTGTCTGTGCCAACACCGGGGAAGTCCATGGATGGACAGAGTGTATCTGTTATGGGTTGATTTGTGTCTTACAGTTCATATTTTTTGGTTCTGACCAGTGTTTCTCAACATGTGAACGTACTTTGAGAGTGAGTCTTTACTGAGGTGAGGAAGTGCAAATGAAGTCATTAAGATTGGCTCTGATTTGACATGACTGGTGTCTTCACAAAGAGGGGATATTCAGACACAGAGGCATACTGCGGTGGGGGGACAGATGACATGGAGAGGCACAGGAAGAGACAACCATCCACCAGCCAAGGACAGAGGCCTGAAATTAACCCTTTCCTCACAGTCTCAGAAGGGACAAACCCTAGCAACACCTTGACTTCAGGCTGCTGGCCCCAGGGACAACACTTCGCTGTGGCCTTCAATCATGTAGTTTGTGGTGGTTTGTTGCAGCAGCCCTAGAAAACTCATACAGATGCATGTATAAAAACACCGGGGAAACATCTGAGGAGGACAGGTGTACAATGTCAAAGGGCCTCCCAAGGGTTACTTTCTAATTACAAAAGGAGAAGTGGTAACTTTACCGTGCAGGAACTCCGCAGGCAAGCGATCAAAGCATTGTGGACCCCCTGGGTGTCGTGCAAGAAAGATACAAGACGGAGGCAGCCAGAGTCTATCTCCTGAATCTAATCCAGAGGACGCCTCAGACCAGCTCAGATGGGGGGACATCCTGAACAACAGCTGGCCTCTCCTCCAGTCAGTCACACCCAGCAAGAAAGTATTCTACAGTCTCTATTCTATGAAAAACCCAAAATATAAATACTTTTAAAAAGAAAAGTATGAGAGACAGTAGGAAACAAGGAGGTCAACTTGGTGAGATGGGAAAAGGGTCTGGGGAACAGGGGCGAAGAGACGGGGAGGGGCAGGATAAGTAAACATGATCAGGTTGGGACGTGTATGTGTACCAGTTCTCCAGGATGAATGTAATTATTACATATCACAAACATGTACCAGTAATGCAAAAGAAAGTCAAGTTATTAGAATTATGACAAATCACAGTGAGAGAATAGTTACACAGTCACCTCTGATAAAGGATTTGTATTCAGAGTATATAAACTATAAGAAAAATAACAACCAAAAAAAAAAAAGGGCAAGAAAGGACTAAAGATTTTTTTCAGATTAAAATTTAGGAGGCTGGGCATGGTGACGAACACCTGTAATCTCAGCACTCCTGGGGCTAAGGCAGGAGGACCACTGCAAGTTTGAGACCAGCCTGGGCTACAAAGTGAGTTCAAGGCCAGCCTGAGCTGCATAGCGAGACCCTGTCTCAAAAAGACAAAAGACAAAAACAAAATAAAACTGGGAGGCATGATATTCAAATATAGCACACGATTCTGGATTAATGTTAGATCAAAAAGTAATGGCCATCATGGGCATTGAGACAGTGGGCAAATTTTGTATACTGACTCCCTGTATTAGAGGATAGCATTGTATATCTGCCAAATTTCCTGAATATGAGATGATCCTGTGGTAACGCAGGGGAAGGTCTTCCTCTGAGGAGACGCACACTGCAATGTTTAGAATTAAAGAGTATGATTTTCACAGCTTACTCTAACAATTCAATAATAATGTGTAAGTGCAAGTTACATGTATGTATATAAAAAGTAAATGTGGCAGTTTAAAATAATTAATGACTTAATAATTAGGGAATTTGGATAGTAAGTTTGAATTTTTTTCAAGATTAAGCATGGGAGAAAAAAACAACTTTCTCATTTTATTTATTCCGTACAGTATCTGGTTTGGCGCTCCTAACGTTCCATAAAGGCCACCTCTGCTGACCACTCAATCCCACTCTCTTCAACACAAACCACCCGGGAACAAAGTAGTGCTCCATGTTTACTTTTAGTTCATGAAAAGATCACCATCTTTGGGAATGAAATATTGTGACACTGTGTGACACGCAGTGTGCTGGTCTGCCTCACAAAAAAACAGAACAAGAATGAACATTGTCGTTTCTGTGCTTTTAATACTAAAATCTCACCCGCATGCTGTGGGAGTCTAAAGCAGACATACAGATAAGAAAGACTACAGTTGCACGCTGTCTCACCAGTATCTTCTCTTTTAATAGTTGCCAAATTTAACTGGGAACACTGTGCTACTCCTTTATTTTATTTTATTGTTTTACTTTATGGTGCTGGCTCTAGAACGCAGGGCTTTGCACATGCCAAGCAAGCGCTCTGCCACTGAGCTACATTCTCAGACCTTTTAATTTTGAGATAGGGTCTTATTAAGTAGCTCAGGCTGGCCTTGAACTTGTGATCCTCCTGCCCAGCCACTACTCATTTTTGAAAAAATCAAGCTTAACCACTGCCTTTTTCAAAGTACATTTTTCAGGGTCCCAGTTGTGTTCCCACAGCCCTGAGGAAGATTTCAAGTGCTGATCTTCTGAACCCTGAGATTGGCTTCCTTAGCTGATCTTGCTTAGATGCCGTGCCTCCTAAGAGCAGGAGTGGGGTTGTCACTTGTCTTGTCCTTAGTGCGCAGTAAGGGTTGAGTGAGGGGACCACCCCAGTTTGTCTGGGACTTAGAGGATTCCAGGGTGCTCTTCTCAGTGCTAAAATAACAAGTCCTGAAAGTTCCAAATAAAGCAGGATGAGCTGGACACACACACGCACACACACACACACACACACACACACACCTCTCAGCACATAGCAGGTGCTCAATAAATGTCAACTGAGATAATGAATTTAATCATCCCATGCAGTTACAAAGTCATAGACAGTACTGCTAACGCTAAATAGTAGAGGGTCACAGTAACGCATGTTCTTCACCCCAAGTGTCGGGAAGAGACCTGGCCGTGAGGAAGGTGGGTGTGCGGGTCCTTCCCGATTGCTCAGAGCAGCACATTTTATAATCCGGACTTGTTTCCTGTGCCACTTCCATAGCTCCACTTTTTCATCGTGCAGCTGAAGGAGCCAACACAGAGGGGCAGGGACAGATGTAAATGCTGCTCTAACACGCTCACGCTAGACTGTGACGGAAGCAGACGGCTGAGCAAATGGACGTCGTTAGCCCTGCAAACGGACACACCTTTGATTCCAAACGAGGTCAAACAGCTGCCATTTGTTTCCAGTTTTTCAATTCTCACATTGTTCAGAAATACAACTCTCATTGTACTTCTGTTTTGATTTCTGGACGGTACATGTAACCGCCCTGCCATAGCTCCAGTCTTGAGCTTTGCTTTGCTTTATTTTGTTTTCTTTCCCGAGAACTTCAGTGCACAGAACTGTGGGCTAAGCTGTAGCTAACCAGCCCTATTACTGCAAATATCATCCTGGTGGGAACTCACCAGTAACACAAATGTGATGGAGACAGAGACCTGGAATAAAATACGAAACTTAAAACTATATCTTCCCTCTGCTTCTCAGATAAGCTGTTCTAGTTTGAATTAATTCTCACAAATGCTTGCCAATGTTATTTACCATTGTTCAATATTGCATTAATAGTACTCTTAACTAGTAATATTAGTAAGACTTAATGGTTACTTTTTTTTTATCACTTATGCTATTGATAGATTCTGAAAATTAAACAACTTATGTTATTCTATAGGAATCCAATCTAAATATATTCTGCTAGGATTTGCATGGGAAACTTGAGCCCTTTTTTAGGATTTATCTGGAGTTTATTCTGATTTTTGAAAATATTAACTACTGGTTTTAGTAGAGACACACACTGTTAATTTAAGTCCTGTCCAAGAGTCCATGGAAACCTGACTGTAGGGGGAGACAACCGCACCATCCTCAGAGCCTCCCTTAGACAGCTGTACAATTAGACACAAGAGGGAGGAAGGGTGACAAAGTAGAACGATTGCTAAAAAGATTACTAAGAGATTAGTAGAATCAAAGAGCAGAAAGGACTATTCAAGTACTCTTATCTGATAACTTCACATAAGAAATAATTTTGCCCCAAATATTTAACTTGGATCTCATCACATTTCTGACTTAACTTCCAGTTTACAAGACATAGTAGGAAGAGCGAAGCAAAGCCAAGCAACGCCATAAATAAATGATCAGACACATCCAGCGAATGAGATATTCCATAAGACAACTGGCTTCAACTCTTCTAAAGAACACAAGTAAATAAATAAATCAATAAAAGCAAGAAGACTTTTCTAGATGAAAAGAAAAACTGCAAGAACAGAACAGCCAAATGCCATGTATATGACCTTAAGTGAACCCTGAACTTGGAGGCAGGCACCCAGTGATAAGAAAGTGTT